GGACTTGCCGGCTTCCGCAGGGCACTGGAGGGGGTCAGCAATAGTGGCGTTTTCCATACGGATCCCAATTCGTCAGTCACGACTGACGTAACGTCGAACGTGACTGACTGAAAGGGAACGTCTAGGTTACTTGTGTAACCCTCGTTCCCTGAAGGAGGGAACGGAGACGTTACGTTCCGTCGCCACAGTTGCTGTTGTTGTTGCACAGTTGTTGCTGTACGGCCGGGGCACATAGTCTCGGCTCCTCAGCGAAAAACTGATGTGCGTTTGCACGCGCTCTCCTTTTATACCCGCGCTGCGGGGCGGGGTGCGCGTGGCGAAACACGCACGCCAACTGTCATTGGCTTGTTTAGTTAACACTCGAAGGTGATTGGGCTCTCGGGCGAGATCCCAATTCGTCAGTCACGACTGACGTAACGTCTCCGTTCCCTCCTTCAGGGAACGAGGGTTACACAAGTAACCTAGACGTTATCAATATTTGGAATTAGTTCTTAGTTTTGTGTTTTTCTGTTTTATGTGAAAGCTTGTTTCCACCATGGAATACAAAAAAAGAAATAATATGATAATTGTGAATTTGTATCTGACAATTCAGACTTAAGATAAGAGTTGAGATAAGAGAGATATAAACTCAGAATTCTGAGAAAAAGTTGCAAGATAAACATTTGCAATTACCTTTTTTTATTTTTTTAACAAAACAAGATATAAACTCAGAATTCTGAGGAAAGAAGCCTGAAATCTGAGTTATATCTCATAGTTCTCACTTTTTCCTTAGAATTGTGAGAAACAAAGTCTAAATTGAGAGATAAAATGTTGCGATTACCTTTTTATGTATTTATCTATTTTATTTTTTGTTACGTCGTAGAATTAGGTTCCTATAGTTTGCAGTTTAATTTTAGTTTGAGTTTTAGCAATTATATTTTGTGATTTTTTTGTAGTTAGTTTTCAAATAATCTATATAATTTATTGTTTAGCTATTAGTTTGTTGTTTTAGTACATCTAGCTGAAAAAAACATATTTTTCTATATTTTAGTTAATATTTATTTCAAGTAGTGAAAATGTTCTGATCTTCTGTCTGAATTTGAATCTGAATCTGTCTGTGAGATAAAAAAAAGTACCTTTTTTATTCGCTAGAAACAAGCTTTCATAGTTTAATGTTAATTAATGTTTTAGTAATTATTTTGTGTAATTTTTGTAAGGGGCGTAACATTTCCGTCACACGCTTGAGGTATTCGGCCAATCACAACGCACTGGATAGCTGGCCAATCACAGCACACCTCGCTTTTTCAGAACGATGAGCTTTGATGAGAAACAATAATGTACAGTATGTGGAAAATAATGTGTTTTTTAACCTTAAACCACATAAACACACCAAATACACAAAATAATGTTCTTTTTAGCAACATCATATGACCCCTTTAATGTTTTAGTAATTATATTGTGTAACTTTTGTAAGTTTCATTATTTTTTTATATCTATATAGTACTTATTCATTTTCATTTCAGTTTTTGGTTTATTTTAGTACATCTAGCAGAAAAAAATATTTTAATCTATTACAGTTGACGTTCATTCAAGTAATGAAAATGTTGTGTTGATCTTCTGTAAATCTCTCTCTGTCCGTCTTCAGGCTCGGACGCTCGGCGGTCTTTCGTGGAGCTGCGGTTCGTGCTGGAGCCGCAGGACGTGGTGACGGTTCGGGGCGGTGTGCTGCAGCTGGACTGCAAGGCGCGCTCAGATCAGGGCGTTCCGGTCATCTCCTGGAAGAAGGACGGTGTGCTGCTGAGCGCGGTGGTGGACGAGCGCAGACAGCTGCTGTCGAACGGGTCGCTCCTGGTGCAGAACGTGCTGCACTCGCGCCACCACCGGCCGGACGAGGGCTCGTACCAGTGCCTGGCCTCGCTGGAGGACCTCGGAGCCATCGTCAGCCGCACCGCTGAAGTCTCCGTCGCTGGTAAGAGCAGTCCGAGTCTGTCCTGACTCTATGATTCTTCAGCACTGGACAGAGAGTTGAGATGTGGACACATATGACACTGGAGCACAAAATCAATCATAAGGGTCAATTTTTTTAAATTGAGATTTATACATCATCTGAAAGCTGGATAAATAATATTTCCATTGATGTATGGTTTGTTAGGATAGGACAATATTTGAAAAATCTGGAATCTGAGGGTGCAAAAAAAATCTAAATATTGAAAAAAATCATCTTTAAAGTTGTCCAAATGAAGTTCTTAGCAATGCATATTACTAATCAAAAATTAAGTTTTGATATATTTACAGTAGGAAATTTACAAAATATCTTCATGGAACATGATCTTTACTTAATATCCTAATGATTTTTGGCATAAAATAAAAATCTATAATTTTGACCCATACAATGTATTGTTGGCTATTGCTACAAATATACCCCAGCGACTTAAGACTGCTTTTGTGCTGCAGGCTCACATATTGACTTTATGAATATAAAGGAATCAGGGGCTCGTTGTCGTTGTGTGAGCTTTATCTGTGAATGTGCAAGAATTCTGCTACCATATACCTGTCGGAAACATTTTTAAATGTTTTTGAAAGAAGTCTCAAAAATACAGTAAAAACAGTGAAATATTATTGCAATTTAAAATAGCAGTGTCACATAATAATCATTCTAATATGCTGATTTGTTGCTCAAGAAACATTTCTGATTATTGTCAATGTTGAAAACAGTCGTGCTGCACAATATTTGTGTGGAAACTGTGAAATGCTACTGTTTTTAACATTTATAATAATAAGAACCATTATTAATAACTGAGAACCAATAATAATTGAGCATTAGAATAATTAATTAGAATGATTTCTGAAGATCATGTGACACTGAAGACTGGAGTAATGATGCTGAAAATACAGCTGCGCATCACAGAAATACATTACAGTTTAACAGATATTCACATAGAATTTTTTTTTTTTCAAATTGTAATAAGATTTCAAAATATTACCATTTTAATTGTATTTTTAATTAATTAAATGCAGCATTGGTGAGCAGAAAAGACTTCATTAAAGACAATTAGAAATCAGGTTTCCAAACTTTTGACAGGTTTGACAGGTACTGTATATATATATATATATATATATATATATATATATATAAAA